CACTCTCATCAAACCTTGACTTGCATCAAAGACCGTATAAGAGCAGCAATCCCATTCAGCCTCGCCCACGTGTGACACAGAGAATACGTCCCTCGGGGTTGGCCGTATAGGAGGAGCGACCAGTTCTACAAATGTTCCATTGATCGTCTGGGAAGCGATGGGAAAGCGAGGCTTTGGAAATATGAGAAGGATAAATCTATTGTACACTCCATGGGAAAGTGAGGGAAACGAGGGCTCGGCACAATAGCAGGACGAGCCCGCGGCGCTCGCATTCACACGGATTCACAGGGTTCAGGTGTCCAACCCCCTGCCTGAAGACCTGAGAAGTGAAAAGACTAAATGAAACAATAAAACACAAACCCAGAGTCTGTGTCCCACCTGAGAAGGAGAGTGTTTTCATGTAAACACAGAGTCCATTAACTGATGAATGTCTATGTGAGTCTAGTCTCAGATGAACGAGCTGGTCGATGTTTCCCAGCCCGAGGGGACAAGTCAACATGCAGCCCACTCATGGAGCCACCGCTAAAGCAAAAAAATATTGATTTTAAACGCCGTGCAGACCCTCATTTCTAGTTCAAAGAGGAATCTAGGGCAGCAGAGAATGTGTATGTGAACTTCCTATTGTATTGAATGACTGATGAACTAAACATGCTCCCTGTGTTAAAGAGTCTGGCTTTGCACTCTGCTTTCAGCTGTAGGCTGAAGAAAATGGTAGGAATCAAATATTTAACAAGCGCATGCACTGGAAGATATGGCTGTGGCAGTTTACTTAAAGATTCATAACGGAGCCCGTGAGGAATCAGGGTCACTGACTACCGTCAAATATATGAAGCCTGCAAGACAGAGGACGTCCTTTTTTTATTCTCGGCTGCTTTCTGTTTTTCTTTTTCTTTAAATCGAGTTATCACTTAGGGCTTTGGTGATGAAATCTCATTACATCCAATGAAGCACATGGGACTGAAAAGTAATGTGTTTTAAGCAGATTGTGATGTAGTGAAGAATAAGTGGATCCAAGCAGAAACCTCCAGTGTTGAAAAATGAAGCTAATGCTGAAGTGCAAAAATCCTGCAGTTCCTTGAGTGTCCACTAGAAGCTGACTGCAGAAGCACAGGAAGTCACATACACACCCAATCAAAAAAGTCTGTTTTTAGATCAGTTTTCAGTTTCATTCTGATTTGTTCTGGTTGAGACCGGACATTTCTGGGAGGGGAGCTGGCGTGTTTCCTCCAGCCAATGACAGTGCACAGGTGAGTCCAGGGGTGGATACAATTCAGGGGTTGGACATGATTCAAAACGGCAAATATATGACGTCGTCGTAGCAGCAAAAAAGAGAAAATATAATCTTTGTGCGGTTATACACCAGCTCCGTTAAAAACAATGGCACAATAGGTAGAAGCAGTAAACGTACTCACTACGTCCTGCAGGGAGTGAGAGTCTCTGAGGAGCGATGAGCCCAGGAGGAGGGGCCCAGTTTGAATATTGTGTTTACAAACTGCAATGAAAAAATGCTACTGACTCCACCTTTAATCAAGAAAATTAAACCATACATGAGGAGTCATTAAATGTGCAGACTTTGTGGCTGACAGCAGCATCTTATCTAAACCCAAGGGGAAGAGTTTTTGATGAAAACAACAATTCATTATTCACTGCTAACATTCATTCCTGAAGCTAATGGGAAAGTTAATCCAATCTCAGTCTTTGCAATAAAACATTAAAATGTTGTTTCCATACTTTGCTGCTCTGCTCTCATTCACAATCACTAGTGGAATCCATTTCCTGAGGCTGTGTGGGCGTAACCTGCTTTCCTTTTGTCTTCATTTACAGAATATCTTCCTGCAGAATATATTAAAACTTAATTGCATTTCATCTTCTTTTTTTAATTTCAAGTGAAAGCCAAACATCAATCTATGGAATCTCCAGTCAAAGACCCTGACCCAATAAATCAATAAAAGTCAGAAACACCTCAGGAAGGACAAAAGATTTGACTCACATTCTTTTTTAAAGCCGTACTTAATGCCACATATCAAAGACAACATATTGACCATGAAGTATAGGCGATGTGTTTTGCTGATCCGGACTGATGAGAGTCCGGGGCTTTGCTTCTAGTGTGCCAAGAAAACACTGCATTGTTGCCGTAAACAAATCACTCATGAGGTGTCTATAAAACAGACCTCATCTACTTGCAAATACAGAGAAAAACAACAATTGCAACATATTTAATTCAGTGGCTTTCTCTCTGTAGGAGACATATTGGTGCAGCATTGATGCACAAACGCCAGCATGCACACTTTGTCATCGTAAAAGGCCTTGAAACTAGTAACTCATCACATCCGCAATTATGTTTGAACCAGTTCTCTTGCCCGCTTCCATCGCTGCAACACCTGTTGGTTTGACCTGATAACTGCTCTCATATCTGACAAACCGAGGGGTGTCCAAAACGGCTATGTGGGGGTGCCTTAAAAGCGCCTACCTTCTCTGGTCCAAACAAATCCAGAGCATTCAGGAGCAGAATCTAAAGTTAGAAGGAGGACATACTGGCTGCTGCATTGTTGTCAGAGAAGTCAGCACTTCAACATAACATGTTTCCTTAATGATCAGAGAGTAAGATACCTTTATCATCTCACTCTCTACACATCTCACTGATTGGACCTTTAATTGGAAATAAATCATTGAAATAACCGCAACAGAATCTGAGACTGCAGTGTTGTGATTTGGACGGTGTGAAGCCCCCAACCTTCAGCGAGGTGATCTGGCACTACTACTCCCCGACAACGCCCCTGATGCACAGCCACCACCATCAGACTGCGTCATACCTACAACCACCGCCGTCCTCATACATGCACGGCCTGCTCCGACCTCCACCTCAGCGGCGAGGAAGTGTGGACAACAGGAACGAGAGGAATAAAAAGAAGAAATCCTTTCTGCATATTATCCCATCTCCCCCATCTAATTTTTCTTAACAATGAGGAAAGTCTTTTACCTGCTCTTTGTAAGATTGATTGTGATGTGTGAGTCAAAAAGCAAAGCAGGGTCAAGTTGAAAGCGAGTAAACAAAAGTTGATGCATGTTGGTTATAATGAGAGCTTGTGTGTCTCTCTGGTGTTTCTCTCTTAAACCTGCAGAACTCAGACAGCAGAGTGCAGACGCAGGCAGTACAACATGAGCGCTGCTCCCTCTGCTGGTTGAACATCACACTGCACTGTGAAAGTGGCTGAGTCATTCCCTCTTTAAAAAGTCAAGTCTTTCGAGTGAATTGCAAAGCCGAGAAGGGGACTCCAGGGGAATATGAAGTGTGAAGACGGAGGAGGAGAATGTGCCGATGACAAAAAATAATGATGAACATTTAAGTGTAATCAGCTCCAGAGTTATGAATGAAAATCATTGTGTTCATACCAGATCTGTGGTGCTATACACACTCAGCTTTAAACGGCACTAATTCAAACACTTCAATTATTCAAGAGGCTTTAAAGGGGCAGACTATCTTTTATTGAGCTCTGCTTCATCCTGAAATGTTTGTGAATATTTCATTTTCTATATCCACCGTTAACAAGCCACAATTATACAGTATACATTTGAGTTTCCATGACCACACTATGTTCATACATTAGCTAATCCTGCGTCCTACATCTTCATGTGGTCGACGTTCATGGCACAGTTAATCTGTAATTTTATGAGTCGGTTAGAGGGGCTGCTGAAATAGCAGAAGAGACAGATTCTCTGGATTTCATCAAGAAAAGCTTAAGTCGTGCTCTATATGAAGAATCAGTTTATGACGAGCACCGCTGACAACTTAACCTTAGAAGTAGTAAGAAGTTCAAGGAAGTTTGAATATGTACCTACGGGTACAAATGTAGAAACACAACCTACCCTAACTGGAATATAACAACTCGACTGGAGCGATGTGTAAGCACATTCAGCACAGGCATGTGAACCTGCACTGGTGCTGTTAGCAATGCTAACGTTAGCCACACTCAGCAAACCAATCTGACTACGTTTACCTGCAGGTATTTGGGGTATTTGGTTTTTGGCCAATGTTTAGCCTTTTAAAATACATTTTTGCTAAATTGTGACTGTTGTGTTTTCTCACGTTTACAATCCCCGGTCACTACAATGGTTGATTGTCAACCTGGAAGGAAGACAAAAAGACTCCAGGTCTCATTTGTACCAAGTGCAATTAATATATTAAACAACAATTAGCCATTTGTTGCTCTTTTTTGCACTTGTATTGCACATTTGCACACCTCCACTTTGCACTTTAATGACTTGGTAGGAATTCCCATTTTGGTATGAGCTCTTGACTGATTTTATTGCAATGTTTTATTTGTTTTTTTTATATTTTGTTGCGTTGTCTGATTTTTTAAATTCCTTTTTTGTTTATGTTTTATGGTGATGTTGTCCTTGTGTTTCTTGTCTTCTGTGTGCTCCTGCTGCAACACAAGTTTCCCCTTGTGGGACAATATAGAATCTGAACAGAAAAAAACAGAAACAGAAAAAAATGCATCTCCACCCGTTCATCCAAATATGGACACTTGTGGCTCCAAAAACCAAGATGGCAACGACCAAAATGCCATATTAAAGGCATTGAAAGAGGTTTACAAACCAATATGTGCCATTACTGTGACATTATCCTCTCGTTTTATACAGTTTTTGAGTCAAGCTCTCTGTGAGGAACAGGACGAGTATAAATAACTAACCCTTAAAGTTCAAACAAGGTCACATAATGGATAACTGAGCTCCGAGACTAAACATCTAAAAGGTATGTCAGTGTGCCAGATGTCCGTTTAATGCCCTAATTTGACTGATCTGGGGTTGAAAGGATAAGGACATGACATCCTTGTCGTCAAGCAGGCTAAAGAGACTAGTGTCAGCGCTGGTCAAATCTACTGTGATGTCTGACAAACCAAGCAGAGCAAACGCATGAAAGACAAATTTGCCCCACATTCGTAAGACATTTTAAACAACAAGTTCATGCTTCAGTCAGGCAGAGGTTGTGTTCATACCTTAAAGGGGGGTTGAAGGGTGCAGAGGCAGGGAGGTGGTCCTCGCCCTGGTCAGCAGGATGTAGAGGAGGAGATGCAGGAGGAGGAGGAGGAGGGAAAGTGGGGGATGCAGGTGGGGTTGGTAGAGAGTCGAAGGTGTGCCTCTCCGGGGGTGTGGGAGGAGGAGTGGGGAACTCTGTGATGTCGTGAAGGTGAGGCGGGAAGGCAGGCAGGATGCAGGATTCTGAGGTCGGAGGTGGGGGCGAGGCAGCGGCACGGTCACCTTTCTCTGCCTGCTCAACGAGGGGGGGCCTGCAGGGGGGGGGGAGGGAACGCAAAACATCAACACACAGACAAGAACAAGAACACCAAAGTACTGATATTCACTCTCCTCCTCCTCCTCCTCCTCCTAAAAACTTACCCCAAAGCAGAGAAAGACGCAGCGCTCTGACCCCACAGTGACTTAAAGAACAAAACGTTCACTCCCACCATCCTAGGAAGGTTTTATCATTTAAATCACACAAAACTGAAAAAGGAACCGCTCTCATCTCATAGGCCATGTTTCCCCTGACTGCTCTACTTCTTACTCTGTGGTGAAGAAGAAGCCCGGTCTGTCTGAGGGTGTCTGGCTCTGTCATCAGCGGCCACCTGGTGGAGTGGATTTGGCCCTGATCCAGACCTCCTTCTTATCAGGAGTGGTAGGCTCTTCTAATCTGACAGGCAAAGCGATGGACGCCCATGCAGCTGTTCCCCCACTTGGGTAATGCCTTCTGTTTAGCTCTAAAAATACCCCAGTAGGCAGCTTTACAACACCTCCATCCACTGAAGTTTATTCACCAAACTCCAGCAAACATGCAATGCACATTTAGAAAACATAAGAACAGGTGTGTCTGTATTAGGGGTTAGAAAAAAATATCATCATCCTGAGTCGAGTGATACACTAATTAAATATGGATATTTTAACATAAAAGATGCAATCGCTGTTAAAAGATTTCCCTGCCAACCTGACTCACAGCATCACTACTTCATGACGGCACTAATGACATAAATGAAGGCAACGTTAGCAGAAGAAAATTGGCTGAAGAACAAGAAGAAGACAACGGATAACGTCGAATAGCGGTAAAAAGAAATAAAGTGTGATAAGAGGTGAAACTGACACCAGACTGCAGTGAATAAATACATGAATCCTGCACTTTACCTTTTTTAAGGACATTTTGTATTCTTCAGTTTGTCAGATTTTATGATGCATTAAATGAATGTGTTGCAGGAAAAGTGATCGAAGAATTGCTGTAACGTGATATTGTCAGACCTGAAAATATGGAAACTAGGTATTTGAACGACTAGCTGCCTAAACAGTCAGATGTCACATCCTTGCTATCGTCAGCAAAATAACCAATCGATTCTTATCATTTCTATATGCTGGTCCTCAATGCTTTTCATTCTTCCTGATATTTGACTGAGAGCTGACCAATCAATGTTTTTTTAAAAAGAAAGATGGAGGTTTTAAGTCTGTAGCTGCACTTTCCAAATACTCCTCCAGCTTGTTTCAGGCTGAAAGTGTGCTCTGTTATTCTCTCCCTCTCTCTCTCACTCTCTCTCTCTCTCTCTGCTGTACATTCAGAGCTTAATAACTTTTAATGAGGGTGTGTGTGCTTTTCTTAAGGGCGTAGCAAGCTATACAGTTTACTTTACATCCAAACCCTCTTCTGGCTTCTTTCATTCCACTTTAACACTGAAGACTTTTCTTATCGGAGAAGAATGGCTGCATGACCAAAGAAGCATGCATAGAAGTCCATACATGAATTTCTATTTGGTGGCATTACAAAATCCTCAGGCAGGCTGCAGCTATGCATCCGTCAGCATCTGCGTCCGACTTGGCACATGCAGCCTGGAAATAGAAACAACCGAGTCACAGCACAAAGTGTCATAAGACTCAGACGCTGCCTCCAAAGATGGACGCCTAAAGTAACAGAGCTGATAAGAGAGAAGGAAGTCAGGCTATTAAGAGAGGTGAGGCCAATCTGCAGAAAATAAGATTAACCTGGACACTGGAGGCCGTGAGGAGCTTTTAATGTGGAGTGAATGTCAGCTGATCCGCTCAGGTCGTCAACAGCTGGAGTTTCCCCTAATTCTTCTGAATGTGAAGCGTATGATACGAGCACATTTGCTCCTTTTTTTAGCCACACATGTAGTCGCATCAGTGCAGTCATGAACACCTTGAGGCGGCCCCAGGACACATGTTTTTTTTACTGTTTTGCAGCAACGTGCAGAGCGTTACTGAACAGCACCTCATCAGCACTTTCTGAGAAAACTAGTTTTTTTGCATTTAAGTTCAGGACTACTTGGTCGTAAATTTCCACCAAAGTCCAGAAAAAAACTGACTTTTACCCCCCCCCCCCACTTTCATGACTGAGAATGAAATAAACATCAGTGACTTTGCCTGTTCTGTATACGAGCCGTGCGCACACATTTAGTGTAATCTCCGGGAAACAGCTGGACACGGACGATGTAAAAGTACAGGCAGAGTGTTGGATGATAAACAGCGTCATAAACAAAACCAGCTGAAGGTTCAGAGAAAGTGATTTCTAAAAAAAAGGGACTGTTCCTCTCCTGCCGCCAGCAGCTACCTCATACTACACACACACACACACACACACACTCGAGACATTACACATTGTAAAGATCACAAACACATCCCACACAAAATATACAACACGTCTCTTCTGCCACTACCGATTTTTAAATAATTATTTGAAGGCCGTCTGGTGTGGTTGAATGAACAACAGGCATGAGATTATTCACTTTGCTTACAGCAGCAAAGTCATATGAACCTACAGTCGCTATGGCAACCGGTCTATTTACAGTACAATGTGGGCTATAGCACATCCTGGTTCCTTCTTTCACTCGGAAAACATGGATGAGAAAAAAAAAAAACAAGACATGACATGATTAGCTCAAGACACACAGGCGTCCCCTGAAGTGTTTCACGAGTACATTTCTTATTTTGCAGAAATTCTATAACATCTCCCCTGAAGTTTAAGGTATTGACAAATGTTTAATATTCATATTGCTGGCAGCTAGGCAAAGATAGGAGCGGTAAAAGGACGATTCAGTTTGGACCTATAATAAGTAATCCGGCAGATGTGACTGCAGATTTATATGAAGGATTTTAAAGTTAGACATGTTCAGATCAGAGTATCAGTGGGTACAATATGTCAAACCTCTAATACACTCATATGTATCTCTAGTCTGTCTAAAACCCCCCAATGATGAGAAAAGTCCATCCTCTCCGTCTTTTCCCTGCTCCACTTTTCAGAAAATGTGTGCTCAAACAGGCCGTTTGGAGATTTTCCCTTCATGACATCACAAAGGGCAGTAACCCCTCCCCCAGGTGGGTGACACTCCCACAGCTAGGTGTTTGTTCTGAACCTCTGAGTCTGCCTTCTCACCGTAAACAATAGGACATGGAGCGAGAAAGCACCGAGACACCGAAGCCCTCCCAGAGAGGGGGCGTGGTCAGACACAGCTCATTTACATATTTAAAGGTACAGACACAGAAACAGCCTGTTCTGAGCAGGGCTGAAATAGAGGGGTTTATAGACATGATCAAATACAGGATCAGAGTGGATTTAGAACAAGAAACGTCACACACATGTTTTGAGGAGCTCTGAGACTTATTTACACTGAAGAGGAAGAGGAGGATATGTCACCTTTAACAGTTATTTTCTTCTCCTCTGGGAGACAGACCTGACAAAGCTTATATTTTAAAAATACAAATCTGCATCATGATGTTATCCGTCAAACTAAAACCCTGTTTCTTGCAAGTAAATCACCAGATAATAATTTTTTTGGGATCATACAGCTAAAGTGAGCTAGAGTGTGTAACTACTACAGTTAAACGGAGACTCACAAGAAAAGTTAAAGATTCATAAATATCGCACAGGACAGGGAATCTGAGCTGGTAGCGTTTTGACGCTTACTGCTGGCTAGCTTCAACTGAAATACAGAGAATCTGCATTAGTTCCCAGAGGCATATGTTGTCATCAGACCATGATGGTAGATGATTGCCGATGGTTTTTGGGATTGATTATAATGGAATAGCATCTATCAGTAGCCATTGAAAAAATTCCAGACAAAAAGCTTAAACTGGTGGCTGAGTGGTCAGTTTGCACGCCCAATGTACAGAGGCTGTAGTCCTGGAATTGGGCGGAGTTCAAATCCAGATACTTTCCCGCATGTCATTCCCCTCTCCTGACTTCTCAGGAAGATCCACCGGCTTCCTCAAAGGTGGGATCTCTTTCTCCCAAAGGTGGGATCTCGCATGTCATTCCCCTCTCTCTCCCTGATTTACAACTCTATCCTATCTCCCCAGAAAGATAGTACAAAAGTGATAGCACAAAAGCCCCCCCAAAAAAGCTTAAAATCTCATTTTGGTGCCATTTATTTAGACATTTAAATGTTTTCTGAGTCTACCACATTCTTAAAGGTGTACACATACTCATTTTGCCACAATGATTCAATAAAAACAAATGTTTAACAAAAAAAAGGAAGTCATAGTGATCATTCCTTTTAAAAGTCTGACATGCCAACAGGTTGTTCGACACACTCACAGACAGTAGTTTGTCATTAGCTGTACCTCTACAAAGACGCCTGGCCAACCGTCAGTCAGGCAGCTTCCTCCTCAGGTGGGAGGAGGAGACCACAACATGCTCTAACCTGTAACATTTTTCTAACATTCAACATTCATTTCACAACTATTACTCTTTCTTTTTCCCCCCTCTCTCCTGCTCGGCCGTCTAAATACTTGTTCCTCCAGTCCACCCGTCCGTCCGGTGAGGTCAGCAGAGCGTAATCAGCACCAGTTACCTACTGACCATCTGCTGCATCCAACTGGAAGGACTTAAACACCTCCCTACTCTAGATAAAAAATAAATAAATAGGGCAGCTACTTCTCGGCAACTCACCCAGATTAGAGCCGAGAAGAAGATGAAGAAATCCATCACACAGCAGTCAGAATGAACTCCAGCGAGAGATAGAAATAACCTCCTCTTGAGTCAATAACTGCACGTCCCGGCTCTGTCTTGTCACACACACACACACTCTCACTCACACACCCTCAGCACATGCTCGAGTGTTTCCCTGAACTCTGGCTTTTGTTCCACTCTGTCTGCTCTGTGCCGATGACTTCAGTGGGGCCGAGCGCCGCCTGCCCAAATTCCTCCCACTCACAGGCTTCAGTTCACAAAGCCGCTCAGACGGAGCAGGACTGACAGCTAGGACGGCCTCTTGGAGGGGGGGCGGGGAGTAAAGTAAAAAACACATGTACACACACTTTCACATACACACTGACTCACATGTGGTCCACTCTAACCCCCGCCACGCCGAGTATTCATGTGTAACTTTATCTACAGATGAAACCTATAGTGGAATAACTACGCCCCCCCCCCCCTCCTCTGCAGCAGTGATGGCACATGTGTTGTGACTGACAGGCAGCAAGTGCTCCTGCGGCATGTGGGGCGGCTCCTGGGCGAGCAGCAGACAGCAGAACGCAGTGACAAAAACAAATGATAAAGCTTGGAGTGAAGAAATGACAAGCAGTGATTTCATTTAACCACATAATCGACTATCACATGTTTAAAGACATAAAAGAACCTCAGAGTAAATGTAAAGTTGGTCCCTAAGAGGTTGACATACTGTACATAAAGTAGAGATGGGGAGTGATCATTCACAAAGACAGTCAGGAAGATTTCAGGGGGAGACAGTAAACCTGGCATTGCACTATGCTGGGTTTACATACAAACAGGAAGCAGCAACAGCTGTCGGGTTTTTCAAATTAAATCTTTTTGAAGTGTAAGAATTTTATTTTTTTTTAAGATTAATTTTTTGTGCCTTTATTTAAAAGATAGGACAGTAGATAGAGTCAGAAATGGGGGAGACAGAGAGTGGGGAATGACATGCGGGAAAGGAGCCACAGGTCGGATTTGAACCTGGACCGCCTGCTTGGAAGACTACAGCTTCCATACATGGGGCACGCACACTAACCACTGAGCCACCAGCGCCCCAAGAAGAACTGTATTTTTTAACATATAGAAGGAGCTGTTCCATCTCGTCTGAACGTCGTCATGGAGACGATTTGTTGGACTCTTCTTACAGTTCAGTCTGAACGTCTTCAAAGCGAGACAATGTGAGCTGAGAATGTTTAAAGTGCCCGACCATATTTCTTGATCCTGTGCCGTCAGTCCGATACCCGACACCTAAATGATGTCGATATTTGACCCGATATGGATAAAAGATCGGAACAGAAATGTCCCTCAGGGGGACACCTTTCATACGTTTCAGCACCATTTCCACTTTTTAGAAGTTCAATCAGTCCTTCTTCTACCAAGTTGTTTTAACACTAAACTATCTGTCCCTCCACTTGAGGACAGGGTGTGTGTACCATCACCACCTCTGAGAGAAAGCTCGTCCAGCTAGAGCTGTTAAAGGACTTAAATAAACACTGAATTCCCAAACAGACGTCAAAATGAACTCCACTCAGGAGTTCAAACTGTCTAAAGGGTTCATCTCTACCATTACACCAACCGGTACAAATCTACCAGACTCCTTCTCATTCATCCGCTAAGACACCGTTTAACCACTACAGACAGCAACAACCGCCTGGACGCCCTCAAGGAGCCTGAGAGCCGAACAAAGCCACCAACAGGACTCTCCTGAGCGCGTGGAAATCCATTTGAATGTGTGACAGGCAGAGCTGCTGAGACGTAAAGCTCATGTCCCAATGGTGAAATATAGTCACTGAAATATAAAGAGGAACGAAAATGCTCGCAGGGTTTAAAATAAAAATAAAAATAATACTGTGTTCCTGTGTGAAAACCAGTCAGCTACATCATAACTAGCCTCTGTTGTTCTTAAGGCTAAAAGGCTTTAATCCTGAGATTTTAGGAGAGCTGTTTTGTTTAATCCAGACTGTGACTGAAGGAGATCAGCACCTTGGCAGCCTTAAAGGGAAACATGACTTAACAGTGAATTTTTATGTTTCACTGGAGACTGCTGACTGTCTCAGCTCTCATTTCTTATTTTTACATATTAAAGGGGACATATTGTGAAAAATCCACTTGTGTTTTAGAACATATATTTGGGTAACCTGAGAGTCTACTGACCCACAACATGGGTCACAAACCTCCTCTGGTGCTTGATTCATGTTATATTTTGACCAAAGCACAGCACAGATGTTTCATTTAGACCACAGGGGGGCTGTTTGAAAAGGTGGAGAAGGGGAAAAACAAACAAGTTAAACAAAAAAAGACACTCACCAGCTGTCCTGTAGCGCCTCAGTGAGATCCTGTAATATGTCGGTCCCTGCAGGCTCCTCGGTTGGCTCTTTTAGGGCGGGCTCCTCAGGTGAGATCTCCGCAGGTTTGTCCTCTGGCTCCTCTGTCAGATCCGGCTCTTGGTGCTCTGCTGTGGTCTTTACTGGTTCTGGTTCTTTATTTTTTATTGGCTCTGACAATGTTGCTGTGCTTTCTGTTGGCTTGAAGGCCTCAGCTGTTTCCTGCGCTGGTTCTAGAGAAGGTACCGGCTCTCTTTCTGGTTCCTGAAGCTCCTCTTGAGGCTCTTCCTCTTTGTCGATTTGTTCTGAGAGCTCTACTGTATTTGTTTCTTGTTGGAGCTCTACTGTATTTGTTTCTTGTTGGAGCTCTACTGTATTTGTTTCTTGTTGGAGCTCTACTGTATTTGTGCTCTGTGTTTGTTCTGAAAGCTCTTCTGCTTTCTCAATCGGTCCTGAGAGCTCTACCGACTCTGCGTCCTCTGGGAACTCTTCTGTTGTGCTCTGTGTTGGTTCTGGAAACTCGACTTTCTCGACAGGTTCTCCGAGTTCGACTGGATCTGTTCCTACAAGGACAGTTTCTTCTGTGCTCTGTTTGGGTTCTTGGCGGTCCTTTGGTTCCTCCTCGGTTTGTTCAGAGAGCTCTACTTTCTCTGGTTCTTTCGGGAGTTCTACTTGTGTGCTCCGTCTTGGTTCTAGGAGCTCTACTGTCTTATTTAGAGGCTCAGGAAGATCCACGGGCTTCCTCAAAGGTGGGATCTCTGTGGTCTTATTTAGAGGCTCAGGAAGATCCACCGGCTTCTTCAAAGGTGGGATCTCTGTGGTCTTGTTTAAAGGTTCAGGAAGATCCACCGGCTTCTTCAAAGGTGGGATCTCTGTGGTCTTGTTTAAAGGTTCAGGAAGATCCACCGGCTTCTTCAAAGGTGGGATCTCTGTGGTCTTGTTTAAAGGCTCAGGAAGATCCACCGGCTTCTTCAAAGGTGGGATCTCTGTGGTCTTGTTTAAAGGTTCAGGAAGATCCACCGGCTTCTTCAAAGGTGGGATCTCTGTGGTCTTGTTTAGAGGCTCAGGAAGATCCACCGGCTTCCTCAAAGGTGGGATCTCTGTGGTCTTGTTTAGAGGCTCAGGAAGATCCACCGGCTTCCTCAAAGGTGGGATCTCTTTCTCCGGAGGTGGGCTCTCCTCGTGCCTCAGTGGTGCGTCTATCTCCTCACTCGGAGTGAGAAACTCTTGAGGGGACTCCAGAGACGGGAGGCGTCTGGAAAAACAATGGAAGAGAAGAAGGGGGTTTGGTTGTTAGGTTTACGACACATGCACAAAGAATGACTGACAAATGTGTGTGTTTGTGTTGGTCCGGCGGCTTGTGTCCCCAGTGAAGTGTCAGAGCATGTGTTAGTGTGTGTTTGTGTGTTTGTGTGTGTTTGTGTGTGTGTAGTTTCATTGTGTCGTGCAGGGTGAGAAAGGGATCATTCTTGCCCTGGAGAGCAGGGACGATGTCACAGCTGATGTCACCCTTTGAGTATAAAGAGCTGCTTTTTAACGTCCGTTATAGGCTTCAACAGGCGCAGTCATCTGACTCGACACAAAGTGCAGCTCTGTGTGTATCATTTATATTCTTTGTCCCACAGCTCTCTGTAACGAAACCTGCTGCAAACAAATCCTGAACATGCTGATACCGGAAAACTAAACTGCAGCAACACATGAATGCATAAAAACTAATAAATATGCTAAATATTAAATATTAGAACCATAAATCAGAATTCTTTAGTAGCTTCTGACTGGTATGATTTGAAACTCATGTTTACATACAGCTGAACATGTGCCTCTGTTTCTGTGCCTCTGTTTCTGTGACGTACCTGAGCAGATGATATGTGACAGCATGCTAACATGTTGACCTACGCTGACCTTTAACACACATGTACACACAAATAAAACATGGTTCTAACCCCCTGACGTCTCATGTCTGGTCTCTAATATTTAGTGTGTGAGGTGGGTTGTATGAGGTACTCCTTAATGATGAGTATAATACTTAATAAAAGATGCTGGTGGTCAGTATGGTCCATGTTTGGAGGAGTCATCCCGAGTTCAAACACATAAGCTAAGCTATTTAGCACCTAGCTTCACTAAGAACTGGATCTTTGAGCTAAACTTACAACAACAAATTAAAGATCCCATATTCTCCTCATGTTCACCTTTCATACTGTCAGTCTGTGAAACCTTTAGAGCAGCTTTGCATGATTAGCAGCTCAAACACCTCCTCATTTATCTGACATTGGCATCAGTAAAAAACCTCATTTCAGCCTCTGCCTGAAACAGTCTGTTACAGCTGCTGTCTCTTGAAGCTAGCTCTCTGCTAGCCTTTATAAGACCATGATCTTATGAACCAGGAAGTATGCCCGATCTCAGCTGGCCATGGCACCCAAACAAGATGTGCTAACTGCAGAGGAAAGGTGGAAATGTCAGCACACTGTTCGGTCCCCAATGGACCATTTTATTTAACCAGGACAACGTTTTGATCTACAAGATCTTCCTCAGGCTCTGGTAGATGGAAACGCTGCCATGTTGAACAGTGCGCCCACCTTTTTCCTTTATGCACTTTGTCTGGATGTGCACACACTAGTTTTCTCTCTTCTTTTCCCCAACCAGATGTGACATTGCACAGCGTGAGGATGAGTTTCAGTGTTGCTGCTGTCCAGCTTCTATGAAAACTCGGCTGTGTTTACTGCAAACTGTCTGTAAACACTGTCAGCACTTCCCACATTTTAACTCTACCTTTCTCTCATATACTGTTACACACCCATGCTCTTTTGTTTACCTTGCCGTCTTCTCTGTTTTCTCTTCTTTACTCTGAGAATCGAGTGCAGCTTCTTTTAGAGCTCTGATCCAGTTTGTCTCTGATTCTGGGGCTCGTGGTCCAGCAGCAGGACTCTCTTTATTCACAGACACATGTCCCACAGCAGAGATGCAGGAAGTAGCTTCTTCAACTAGTCTTACTTCAGATTGGGAAGTGGCAGCAGTGATGGGTTTTACAACATTGTTTTGGGCGGGATCGGGCAATACCACCTCATCATGTGGCTTCGCTGCAAGAGGTGTTGAGGCCAAATCATCCAGGCACTTTGATGAAATACTAGATTGAGTATCCACAGTTATTTGATTTGCTAAATCATTGCTATTTTCTGTTTCCTTCAAAAGACAAATGCCATCACTGCTGCTTTGGGGCAGCTCACTTTCACTCAGGTCTGAATCTTTAACTGACCCAAAGCCACTGCCTTCATCCTGAACACCTTTCTCTTTCTGTGTTGCTTCATTGTTTACTACTTTTATCCCACTTTGATCCGTCCCCTGGCTGTCGGCTTTGTCTCGTCCCAAAGCTGCTTTATCCTCCTCTGTGATCTCCTCTACATCAGGGCCTTTTATGGCTGTCTCTGCTTCTGTGCTGCTCTGTGTGACTGAGCTTTGCAGCTCAAAAGGCTCACACTTTGCACCCTGAATGTCACACTCCTCAGTCCCACTACTGTGGCTTTTCTCACTGTAATCTTTTTGCAGCTTTTGGTCGGCCTGCTTTGCACTTGGAGTATGAACTTCTGCATGAATGTCAGAACTGTCCGAGCCGACCTTTGATGAGGCAGGAATTCGGAAAGGTGAAGCCTCATGTCTGTGTGATGCAGACTCGACAGATACAGCAGTGTTCTTTGACGTCTCGGGGTTTTCATTATGGTCCTGACAGGCGGTTAATTGTTTGCTTTTTTGCTGACCTTTAGCGCTCAGATCACTCACAAGCTCAGCTTCTGACGCAGGAACTGTAACCGACCCGGCTACCCCTAAAACCTGGCCTTTATTGTCGTCCGTCCCCTGTTTTGTCTCTCCTACAAGAGAGTGAGAAGTGATTAGCTCTAAGTCATTTTCCTCAGCAGCACTTCCACTCTCATTTAAATCACTGGCAAGGTGAGACGTCACATAAACCCTGTCGAGCGCTGCTGCAGCTTCCCCTTCATCTCCTCCACCTTTCCTTAAATCCATCACTCGTTCCTTGTCATCTCCTGTCAGCTCATCCCTGCTTCCTGACTGACATGACCGCCTGACAAAGCCGTCTCCTTCCTCCACATGAACCACCAGCGTCTGGGCCAGCCTGACCTGACCGTTAGTTGTTTCCTTTCCCTCTAAACAGACACCTGACAGCTCCTCTGTGGGATGTTGCTGCTGATGTTGCTCCTGTTGCTGAGCAAAGCAATTTGGATCTGGTGCAGACTGCGATTGGCCGCTCAAATCTTGTGCCGAGTCCCTGTCATGGCTGTGTTTCAGGTTCAATATTGGAGTTTTGTGAGTCTCACTACCAGGCTGCATCTTAGCTTTTGGTGTGTCATGAGATGACCCTGCAGGTCTGTCTCTGTCAGGAGATAAAGAAGATTCATCTGTGTGGCTTTTAGATTTCTTCCATTCTCCACCCTCCTTTGTTGTATCCTTTATTGGTGATTCAGCTTTTTCTGCTTTATGTTTATGTGATGGCTGCAGGTCTCCTGTTTCCCCCACAGTCTCTTTATCAGCCTCATTACTCTGTTGTGTTGTTGTGTTTCCTGTTTGCATCTCACTGCTGTCTTCTGTTTCCTTCTGATTGTTCTTTGTAGCCTCGTCAAGCTGTTCATCTTCCTTTCTTACAGCAGGCGTAGAGGTCTGATAATCCATGTTTTGTTTCTCTTTGTTCTGTTTAATTTCCTCGTTTGTATGCAGGCTGGATGCAAGCGGGCAGCTGACAACAATGACATCATCCTTAATGGATGATTCACAAATTACAGGTTTAATGCCAACGGAGGAGTCTGGCTTGGTGTGTGATAGAGAAATTACATTATCGGATCCGCCCACTGCACCAGGAGGCTGAATCGGAGGAGTCACATTTTCCTCTTTTGAAGATGCAATATCCCCAAGATTCATTGCAGAATTCGACAACGCAGCATCATTTTTATCCTCCAGTTTAGGACGAGTCTTATCTTCTTTAACATTATCTTGTGCCACTTTCCTGTCATTGTCGCCTTTAACTTCTGCAGAGACTTTAGTGCCGCCGTCTGTCTGCTCAGGAGGAGGAGAGATATCACCGTCTCTAATGAACTCCAAGTGACTCAACATCGGACCAGGAGGCCGCGGCACAAAAGCAGGATTACTGGCACATTGCTCAATAGCGGGAATTGACTCGTCAGAGGCCGCTGCTGCTTCTGAAGTCGCTGATTCATCCGTTGTGGGATCAGTGGAGTGAGTTTTGGATTCGCTGGTGTTCGTTTGTCCAAAGGCAGGTGTTTGATCTGACTTTGTGGAAGGCTGGAAACTGGGGTCACAAGGCTTTGTCTGAGGGGAGGCTGAGTTCAACATTTCAGGTTTTGAACCAGGGTCAAGGCAAGAAGAGAGTTTCTCAACAGGTAGCTTGGCGGTGACATCATTTAAAGGTGTGCAGGTAACAGTTTCAGGTGGAAGCACAGATGATGAGGTCAGAGGTCGCTGCTTACCTGCTTTTTCTTCAACTTTAGCAGAATCCTGAGGCCGGACTTCAGACTGAGCATGTGAATTATCACCCTCTTTCTCACCTCCCTTCTTCTCTTCTAATTGCTTTGTCACCTCTGCAGACACCTGCTCAACTATCAGACGATCGCCCTCGGATACAGCACCACTTGTCGTTTGTGGAAGGTCAAAACATTCTTTATTACCGTCCTGATTCTTCATGACAGGACTTGAGAGCTGTGTTTTGCAGGCCTCGGTCTCAGACTCTGACCGAGCCTTTTTAAGGTCCTTCTTGGCATCTTGACTGTGTCCACACCCCTCTTTCTCCGTACTGCTCCGTATTGCTTTTTCACCCTTGGTAGGAGCTGCACTTGTGATGAAATCCGGTTTCTTCAGGCTGAGGAATCCTGGGAAAGTGTAGCTGGCTTCGACGACAGGATAGTGCAAACTCTCATGCACGGTCACCGGAGGCAACGAGGCGAACTCCATGTTTCTGAAATCCACTGAGGGATCGCTGTCTTTCTTCACCGTGTCCTCAAAATGAACTCTGAGGTTGCGTCCCCTGCTGCTGTCACACGCGTGCACACCTACTCCAGAACTGTCACTATTGCTCTCTGTCTGGGGTTGAACTTCAGCCGCCTCTTCTGTTTTGCTACTTCTCGGTCGTACCTGTTGATCGCTGCTCGCTTGCAGGATTTGTTGTGAAGACAGCAGAGGCCGAGGGGAAGGAAAAACTTGGCTGTGGTTTCTCTCCGTCTCTGTAAAGGGTCGTAAAAAAGAAAGTGCTTCTTCAGAAATAAGATTCTGTGTGAGATCTGTGTCGCTGGAGACTTCAGGATGAGCGGAGAGAGGGGAAATCGCTGAGCAACACTGCTGCTGCTGCTGCTCCTGGCAGGAGTGAGAGAAACGGTCCTGCTCGGTGCAGATGCTCGCAGAGATAGAAGCTCCCGGCGGCTCCCGGCAGCTCTGTGATTTCAGCTGTGACTCGGCAACATCGGTGGGCGGACACGTCTCAGTCTCGGCCGATGACACCCCACAAGGAGAGCCTCCTGGCTGGCTGAGAGCAGTGTAATCTTTAACTCGCCCTCCTTTCTCTCCCACCTCCTCTCCTCCTCCTCCTCCTCCTCCTCCCCCCTCCGGTCCTGCAGCAATGTGATCCTGACAATCAGGAGCAGCAGTAAGTAGCCCAAGGGGAGAAGTATTGAAACAGGCTTCTTCTGTTGGTGAGATCTCTGAGTCTGCACTGCGATCGCTCCTCGTCTCCCTCGGTCCTTCCTTCCTCTCCGTCTCTGCAGAGTTTTGTGGCATTTTTCTGCTTTCCTCAGATGCAGCCTGTCCCTCCTTGGCTGAGCGCTCCCCCTGTGAACAGATTAACGCGAGCCGAGGGAGGCTGTGCAGGGGTCCTTCTTCTTTCTCTCGGTCTGCAGAGCTGACAGACTCCTCTATCCCTTCACAATCCTTCTCCGCTCTTTCTGCTCGCTCACCCTCGGCGATTGCTGCCACTACAGCATCTACTGAATCACGCCTCACGCTTTCTCCCTCTCTTCTCTCGCTTTCTCTCACTTCTGGCATCGTGGGTGTTGCCAGTGGCAACGCAGCACCAACCACCGCGAAAAAAGCCTCTTCAAGGGCACTCTGCACGCCGCTCTCTCCCACACAAGTTCTGCTGCTGTGGGAGAGTGGGCTCTGATTCTCCTGTGTGAGTATCTCTGAGGTAACTACAGCCTCCTGTGTTTGTGCATCTGATCTCTTATCAGCAGGATTGATAACTGCAACTGTTTGGACATTTGTCATGCACGTGTTTTGTGTATTGATGAAATCTCCGGTTGCATGTTGAGCATCGTCTAAACAGTGATTCATGCCACATGAGGTTTCTGTATGTTTGTGGTTATGTGACTGATGAGGCCTCTGAGGAAGAGTCGGCTGGTTGGACGCAGGTGAACAGGCCGAGTCAGTAACAAGATCCTGCCCGCTCTGAGAGGATGAAAGAGGGGGGCTGGAGCAGAGTTCTCCCTCAGGACTCAGCTGTTGCTCGTAGACAAATCCATTATCAGGCCCACAAAGCGCCGCCTCGATGTCTTCCCGCGCCTCTGATTTGTCCTTCTCATTTTCAGGCTGCACTTCTGTGTTCTCGCTCTTTTTCTTTTTCCTTTGCTTCTTTTTGTCTTTCTTCTTTAACTTCTTGTCCTGCTCGGCCTGCTGAGGATTCTGCCATTTGTCTGCTTTTGACTTCTGACCCTCCTCAGTTTGAGCTTCTCCTGCCTGCATCTCCGCTAATGCATCTTTATCTTTTAAACTAAGGTTACCGCACTCTAATGTTTCCATAACTGAATCAACATTCTGTCCAGTTTCCTCTTTATGAACCTCATCACTATGATTGTCTGCTGTTTCTGTTTTTGCCTCTGTGCCTTTCCCCGTTTCTTCCTCAATGGCTGCCTTTGAATCAACATGTTTCCCTTTTAAATCGTCTCTCTGATAAGGAAACAAAACCTCCTTCTGGTGCCCTTTAGCTGAATCTGTTGCTGATTGCTGTGTTTGCGTAGGTGTCTCCTTCTGCTCTGTTTCTTTTTCTGTCTTAGTCCCCGAACATGTATCAAGGCTCTGTGTTGCTTTTATCTCCCTCTCCGTCTCAGCTGACCCGACACTGTCCTCGGTTCCCAGAATATAATTCCTGAAACTAAACACAACAGTGTCCTTGTGCTTGTTGCTTGCTGCCTCACTGTTTCCGTTTGTGCTCTTGTTGCCATGGCCCTTGTTGCTATGTCCTGGCTGGACTACGACTATTGGAGGCAGCTTTGATGACTCACCGGACTTATTAACCATCCCTTCTCCAGTTTTCTTTTTCCCCTCAACACAAACCGTCTCGGATGCGGTGCCTGAGCGCTCTGTGCGGCTGCCTCTTCCCAGCGAGGCCATTTGCTCTTCACATTCCTGGAACGCCTCTTGGAGTTCCCGGTCTAGGAGCAAAGATTTGGGCGAGGTCAGGGGTCTGACATCCGGGTCGGGGGGTGTGGCAGAGGGCCAAGGTGAATGCTGGGTGTCTGTGAGAACTGGGCCGCTGTCATCATGAGGCCTGAGACGAGGGGGGCAGGGTGACAAAGTTTAGAGTCTGGTCTTGCAGGCAGACAGCTGGTCATTCCAGGATGCGGCAGAGCGCTGATGTTAGCAGAGCAGAGGGCCAACACACACAACTGTATGCAGGATGCATCCAGTCTTAAATATGCATTACTCTATGATATAAAACCAGCTACTTTGAAGCATGAGGCTGTCAGCTGACATGCAGGTCTGTTTACACACACACCAAAACACCCATAAAATGAAACGGACCACAAGTGCATGAAATGAATCTCTTTCATGATCACTGAAGCTTTGTGCTCGTTTGTTGTTACTGCTGAGCCACTGCTATCCCATTACCGTGAAGTACAGTGGGACCATCTTTAAAGTGTATTGATCCACCCTCACTGTGTAGTGATACGTTGGCCTGCAGTGCTGCATGTGCTAATTCAAACCTGCCTCACAGTAAGAGTTAACACCACAATGTGCGACTGCATGTGATTGAGGACTAAACTGTGACATGACTGCACATTGAGAATCTGTCATTTCCTTCTTTACGCAGCCTCAGGCCTGCCTGTCACACCTGTGTCTGACTCACTTGGCACTCCTCGCTGCAGGACGGAGCAGCAGCAGAGACATAAACTATTTACAGCTGTAAAGTTACTGATGAACTAACTAGGGATGACATCATACTGAAAGGAGCAACATGTAAAATATCTACTGAGTGAGATGATAAAGGTATCTTACTATCTGATCAGACATTAAGGAAACATGCTATGTTGAAGTGCTGGCTTCTCTGACAACAATGCAGCAGCCAGTATGTCCTCCTTCTAACTTTAGATTCTGCTCCTGAATGCTCTGGATTTGTTTGGACCAGAGAAGGTAGGCGCTTTTAAGGCTCGTTTTGGACGCCCCTCGGTTTGCCAGATATGAGAGCAGTTATCAGGTCAACAGGTGTTGCAGCGATGGAAGCGGTCAAGAGAAGTGGTTCAGATAGAAGTGATTGTACCCGACCTAAAAAGCCTCTGCATGTTTCTAATAAGCTCCACGAGCAGAAACGTGCTCAAACTAGGATCAATATTGGAGATGCTTTTGAAAAATGGAGAGAGGTTAGAACACAGAAAGGTTTACAGACCCATGCAGAGCTGGATAAACACTGAAGCTTCAGAGTCCACCACATGGTGACCTGAGTGAGCATCCACTCTAGAGAGGAGGGGGGCTCTCTACAATGTTTAGAATTTAGACTGCAGTACCCATTTTAAACACTAGGTGACATAGTTACATATGTTCAACACCAAATAAAGTGTTTCAAATTAAAAGATACTGCAGGTTGTTACTACATGGTCCTTCACTGCTACATGACTATTTGAACATTACATTTGTTACTTTTTTAACAAATTTGCATAAAGCAGTTTTTATGATGTCAATGAGACAAAATCAATGAAAATTTTAAAGCAGGGTTGGTGAATTTGCTCATTTAACAGTCACTGTGGCTGTTAAATAAAAGCACCTTAACAGAGTGAATTTAAAACGCACCCTTTGGAAACAACAAATTGATTATCTTGCCTCTCAATCGAGGTTCATTTGAAGCTAAATCCACTAAATGAGTTTGCCTTTGAGGACACAGCTGGCTGTATGGGAAACTCTTACAAGCCTCAAAAACTAAAATAAATAAAGTTTTTTTTCTGTGAATGAGAGACAAAGAGCGTGTCAGTATTTTCTTAAAACGCTGAAACACTTTCTTCATATTTGCTGCCATGGCAGGTAAAAGAAAATCAAGTGAGTGGTATATTTTTAATCCACCAGTCACAGTGGCAGGTAGGCAAAAAAGTTCATTTCCAACCCTGCGTTAAAGGTTAAGAAAAGTTAATGCTGCACACACAGTCGAAGGCAGGATGCAACACTTGAGGCAGAACATGAAGCCAGTCTGCAGATTATTCACCCAAGCTTCAAACAACAACAAAACACCTCAGCTCGAGCCGAGTCTGCAGAGATCGACCTCGAGCGCAAGTTAGAAACAGTCATCCAGTCGTCTCTCTGTTACGCTGCATGCTCCCATCATCCATCAAGTCTGCATCACTTCACACCTCATCGTGCTGAGTGTACCTCGTTCCTAGAACAAACTCTGGTCCACTGACTTCCTTGTGATGCTGCAGACCGGCCACCAGGGGGTCCACCTGCTCACTTTTTCTCCCACCTGAGCTACAGGGAGCTCTGCTTTCATAAAATCCACAACACACATACACACATACACACACACAC